GAACGAAGATACACTGTCTCCGAGAAAGAAATGCTGGCTGTAGTCCATTGCCTTCGAGTCTGGAGACAGTATCTCTTAGGATCACAGTTCGTAGTGAAGACAGATAACAGTGCCACTTGCCACTTCTTTGATCAACCAAAATTAACAGCAAAACAAGCCCGGTGGCAGGAGTCGTTGGCCGAATTCGACTTCAAGTTCGAACACAAAGCAGGAAAGAGTAATCAAGCAGCCGACGCGCTGAGTGGGAAGGGCGAACATACGGCCCTGTGCATGTTAGCCCATATTCATTCAAGTAAGATCGATGGATCGATGCGCGACATCATCAAGGAACATTTACACAAAGACCCATCGGCCAAAGCTGTTGTCGAACTAGCTAAGGCTGGAAAGAAACGGCAGTTTTGGGTTGAGGGGGACCTCCTAATAACCAAAGGAAACAGATTGTACGTCCCAAGAACGGGGGAACTGAGGAAGAAGCTCATTCAGGAATGTCATGATACCTTATGGGCCGGACACCCTGGGTGGCAAAGAACATACGCCCTAATAAAGAAGGGGTACTTCTGGCCAAACATGCGAGATGACATCATGCAATACACCAAGACGTGCCTCATCTGCCAACAGGATAAGGTCGAGAAAGCCAAAGTCTCTGGACTCTTGGAACCTCTACCTGTGCCAACAAGACCCTGGGAAAGTATATCTCTGGACTTCATAACACACCTCCCAAAAGTCGGGGAATATGACGTCATCTTGGTTATTGTAGACCGGTTCTCAAAATATGCGACATTCATCCCCACTCCCAAATTATGCTCGGCGGAACTCACAGCCCAACTGTTTTTCAAACACGTTGTAAAGCTATGGGGCATTCCGTCGAGCATCATCAGTGATAGGGATGGCAGATTCATTGGGACATTCTGGGCTGAGTTATTCGCTTTCTTGGGAACAACCTTAAACATCTCCTCGAGTTATCACCCTCAAACCGATGGACAGACAGAACGGTTCAATTGCTTGCTCGAAGAATACTTACGTCACTTCGTCGACGCTCGCCAAAAGAACTGGATACAATTGTTAGATGTCGCCCAATTTTGCTTCAATTGTCAAACAAGCTCGTCTACAGGGAAGAGTCCCTTCGAAATTGTAAGTGGACGACAACCGGCCTTACCCCATATTATTGATCATCCTTATGCAGGAAAAAACCCTCAAGCTCACAACTTTACAAGAGAATGGAAGCAGACGACAGATATAGCCCGGGCATATTTAGAGAAGGCTTCCAAGCATATGAAGAAATGGGCGGACAAGAAGCGTCGCCCCCTTCATTTCCGTGCAGGAGATTAAAGTCCTTATCAAGCTGAGACCAGAACAGATCAGATTTCGTAGCCGAAAGGACCAGAGACTAGTTCGTAAATATGAAGGCCCGGTTGAAGTCCTTAAAAAGATCGGGGCTACCTCCTACCGAGTTGCACTACCCGCATGGATGAAAATCCACCCCGTCATTCATGTGAGCAACTTGAAGCCCTATCACCCTGATCCAGACGACGACCAACGAAATGCAATCACAAGACCGAACATCGATCTGAAGCAAAAAGAAACAAAGGAAGTGGAAAAGATCCTAGCCGACAGGGTTAGGAAGATAGGAAGACCTGTACGGACGATTCGTGAATTCCTTGTCAGATGGAAGAATCTCCCTATAGAGGAAACAAGCTGGGAACGCGCCGAAGACCTGAACTCCGCCGCCACCCACATCGCAAGGTACGAAAGTAGTCGGTTGACAGGGACGTCAGCCAATTAGGTGGGGGAGGATGTCACGGTCATGCTTGTCCAGGGCATGTTGCCCATGGCCGCATGCCCATGACAAGCCAAACCCTTGTCATGTCTTTTCATTCTAGTGTTTTTCCTTTTGTAATTCTAGAGCGTATGACATTTTCATTCTAGTGTTTTTCCTTTTGTAATTCTAGAGCGTATGACA